CCGCCCTGCGCGGCGCCGCACGAGGGTATGGGCAGGGTTTGGGTGCTGCCGCGGTGCAGGAGGAGGGGAGGGCGGCGGAGCCGCTTCATGAGCTCTGATATTTTATTCCAGGCAATTTCACTCCAATGGATTCCCGCTCTTGTCATGGAAAGGGGCAGGCACGTGACGGCACCGGGAATATTATCAATTAAATGCAAACCAAGATGGAGCCGGGGAGAGCGGGGCGGCTGCCAGCAGTGCTGGGCTTGGAGGCTGGCGGGTCCTGGTGCCAGGACCCGAGGGTGCTGGCGGGTGGGAGCGCGGCACAGCCGCCCGTGGCTCTGCGGTGCTGCCGTCTGGCGGGAGCCGTGGCCTCCCCGGGGAGGGTGTGCTGGCGAGGCCATGGGCTGTCCCCGGGGGGTTTCCTCCGCATGGCCACCAGAGCCCCCATGCGTGGGGGGCAGCGGAGCGGCCACGGGGCGAGCGAGCCCATTGAGCAGCCCGCCTGTCCCCTGCCCTGCCGGCAGAGCAGGCCCGGCTGTCAGGCAGCGCTAACAGTAACGAATGCCCCTAATGAAGCACCCAATTAGCCAGGATCCCAGCCTTAATGGTAGCTGACAGAGCTGAAAGCTGCGAGTAGTCAATTGTCAAGTGTAACATCCCGCCGGGGTGAGGCGGGGAGGCTGCTCCATCCGTCTCTGTCAGGGAAAAACAAAGCTCCCGCGTTAACCCCTTTGGGGGTGGGCGAGCTCTGTGCTCACCGGCGGGGCTCCGGCGGCCGTGGTGGACCATGGCATCAGCCCCAGCAATGGCATCAGCCCCGATCCATGGTATCGGCCCCAGTGATGGCATCAGCCCTGTCCCATGGCATCATCCCTGGTGACGGCATCGGCCCCGTCCCATGGCATCATCCTCGGTGACGGCAGCAGCCCCGTCCCATGGCATTGGCCCTGTTGCTGGTACAGGCTCCCCCGGGAGGCAGTCACGGCGCCGAGCCTGACAACATGCAAGAAGCATTTGGACAACGCCCTCAGACACATGGGGTGAATTTTGGGGCTGTCCTGTGCCGGGACAGGAGTTGGACTCAATGATCCTTGTGGGTCCCGTCCAGCTCAGGACATTCTGTGATTCTGTGATCCCATGGTGTGCGTCACCCTGGCCATGGCATCCGCCCGGCGTCTGTCCTAGAGGGGTGGAGGCTGCCCTGCACCCAGGACTGGGGTGACCCCCAGGCACCCCACCAGCCCCGTGCACCCCAACACCCTCTTTCATTTTTCCATGCGTTGCAGGGCATGAAGACAAGGCAGCCGAAGGCGCTGCCAGCCCTGCACATGGGGTGGGCTCCCACCCCCACGGGCAAAGCCCCCCGTCCCTAGCACGGAGGACGCCACTGTCGGCCGCCAGTCGGCTGCGGTGAGCCCCGGGGTGCAGCCCTGCCACCGGCACGTCCTCCGGAGCACACCCATGGTTTCTATTTTCCTGAGCGTTTAAGCACAAGCTGCTGAGGGGACGGTAATTACCCCGCAGCGGCTGGATGGAGAATCACCCGGCTGCCTCCCGCAGCCCCGGCACCACGGCGGGGGGATCTGCTCCGGCTCCGCAGCCGGGGGGACCTGGGGTCCCTGCTGCTGAGCGGGGCTGGTGCTGTGCATTCCCAGTTGGAGTAACAGCAACCTGGACTTGCTCAAAGCTGAGCTTTTCATTTGGCGTGAAAATGCTGTGAGTTGGCATCTGCTGGTGTGCCACAGCGGGGTCTCTCCTCTGGCTTACTGCAGTTCCCAGCGGACCCGGGGATTTGCCTTGTCCTTGCCCTGAGCCGGTGTCCCCATGTCTCAGGGACTCGAGGGCTCAGTGGAGGTGGGGACAGTGTTCCATGTCCCACCCGCCCTGGGCTGGCACCGGTAGGGAAGGGGAAGCCCCGAGACATGGGCGCAGGTCCGTGGGCATGGGGACTGCAAGCGTGCGCTGGCCGAAGCGGCGCATGCCCTGCGTGGAGCAAGGTGTGCCAGGCTGCGGCACGGCGTGCCGGGCACAGGGCTCTGCCCGGGCGCCGGCTGCAGCTCCCCGCGGCTCCTGGCTGTGGTTTGCAAAGCTGCAGCTCCTGCAAGCGCGCCGCTGCTCATCGGGAGCGCGCCGAATGCAGGGAGCAGGAGAGGGGCGGTGGCACCCAGCTCGGCCCCGGCCGCTCGCCCTTCCCTGCCCCGCTGAAAGGCGTATTTTATTTTTCCTATTTTGAAGCAGACGAATTAGCGATGTGCCTCATTTAGACAGTTCAAATCCCACTCATTTTAATTAGTGCGGCCTGGCAGCCCTGCTGCGGGTATTACACGGGGCGACAGCGCGCTTTCCAGGTGGCGGGTTTTTAAAATGCTGTTGACATTTTGCGAACTGAATGACTTAAACGATAACAAATTAACAGACGGCTCCGTGCGTGCGCGCAGGGCTGGCTCGGCGTGAGCCTCCACCACGCGCCTCTGTGAGCAAATTCGGTTATCTGAGTGTGTCCGAGCGCCGGTGCCGCTGCCTCTCCCCGTGCGCTTGGCTGCCCTGCGCCGAGGTGTGCCCCGCACCTCCGACGGGTGCTCGGGTCTCTGCGTGGCGCCGCTGCTTGGAGGTGGCTGTCGGAGTGGTGTGTGCTGGATCCATCCCTGCTGCTCTGGTGCTGGGGTCCTGGCGGCACCGCGGTGCCGGCTGCTCTGCCGGAGCTGGCTGCAGGTGGTTACTGCCGGAGGGACGGGGGCTCGGTGTGAGCGCTGGAGCACCTTGTTAGGCGGGCACGTCCTGCTGACCCCAGCTCCGGGCTGTCGGTGTGGTTATCAGCCTGAGGCTGCTGGAGGGACGTGAAGCCAAAGCCAGCCCGGATCAGGTGGTGGCAGCTCCGGTCCTTGCTGAGCGGAGGTCGGTAGCGGCTCCGGATGGCCGGTGCCTGGGATGGCACAGGATGAGGACAGAGCGGCTCCATGAGCCGCCATCCCTGCACCGGTCACTCTGCCCAGCCGTGGGGTGCCCCCTGCCTGGCACAGTGGCACGGACCCCGTCCCTGCAGCCCCCTCCCCGCATCCCCCTCCCGAGGGCATCCCCAGGGTGCCTCCCAGTAAGCCCCTTCCCTCCTCGATGGAGCCGCCTGTGCTGGGCTTTGCCCGCTGTGCCGGGGCAGCGGTGCCCGGTGCCGGGGCACAGCCACGCTCTTGCAGCGCTCGGCAGAGCTTCCGGGAGGGAATATTTGATCAGGCAGAAATGTAATATTTATAGGAGGGGGTGAATCAGCAGGGGGAAATGGAGACATAAATAAAGATTCGCCAGCAACAAAAAGCCGGGACAGAACTGAGACAAAGTCACCCTGTGCCTGGGGACGCGTGGCCCTGGGAGTGGCAGCGCCCCAGCCCCTGCCCGCTCGCCAAACGTGGGGTCCAGGCAGCCCTGGTGCCCCCCTGTGCTCGAGGGGACACGGGAGGGTCTGGGCTGCGGTGCGGGTGTCCCGCGATGGCAGACAGGGACATCCCCTGCCTGTCCCATCCCCCCGGGGGCTGTCTGTGCCGCGGTGGCTGCGCGGTGTGATGGCAGGGACGCCTGGTCCAGCCCTGTCCTGGACTCCGGCACAGCGTCCCCCGGGGCCAATTAATGCCTTGCGCCGTCCCCGACCCCGGCTCATCTATTTGAAGCCACCTGGGCACCATCTGCCACTCCCGGCCCCAGCACGGGGTCTGCGGGGAGGGGGACAGGGACAGGGATGGGGACGGGGCACCGACCATGCGGCCTGGTGTGGCGGGGGGGGCCCGCCCCCCCCCCCCCCAGCCAGCCCTGCTGGGGGCGGCCGGCCGGGGAGGCTGCACACACCTCCAAGGCTGGAGCCCCCCGCCCCACATCCAGCCCCCCAAAAGCTGATCTTAGCTTTAAACCCGACTTTGTGCCGTGTGACCCTGGGGTGCACCATGCTGGGGGTCCCCAGCACCCGCCACCCCCCTGCAGAGCCTGCCCTGCCCCCGCCAGTGCCCGCCAGCGCCCGTCTCCGTCTGTGCCATTTAGCACAGCTAATCAGCTTTAATTCAGCAATTTGTCAGTCTGGAGAAGGCCCTCGGAGTTAGCTGATTTTTTTTTCCAAAAATATAATTATTATTATTATTCCCCTGATAAGCGTGAGCCCTCCTGTTACAATCGCCTTTGCTTGGGCTTTAATAACGATCATTAAAATAAATAATTTTTTAAAATAAAAGGCAGAGAGGAGAGTTTTGGGGTTTTTGTAAAAAATTTTTTATTGTTTTGTATGCGTTTGAAAATTGTTTCCCAGTAAATCCTGGCCCTTTGTATTAATTTTACATTTTAAAATGTTACCTTGCCAGGGGCAGGGTTGGCACAAGTGACTCGGGAAAGGAGAGAGAAGGAGAGAGAGAAAAACCCTTCTCCTTAATTGGTGCATTTCCCTGTGTGATCCGAGTGCTTATGAAGCAGGTAATGAGCTGGATGGGGCTGGATGCTGCCGCTCGGCTGCTCCGGCGGGGCTGGAGGACCAGCCCCCCCGCCTCCTGTCTTCGGTCCCCCCTTCCCTTTTTGGGGTGCCGGGTGCCTTTTGGGTCACCCTCCGCCACTGCTGGCGGTTCGCCGCCATCCCCGCCTGCCCTGTCGGCGCTCGGCCGCCCCAGGGATGCATGGGTGCATGCTCGTGGCGTCCCGTGTGATGAGTTTGAGCCAGCCTCAGCCCTGCTTGCAGCTGCTGGAGATTCAGGCGGGCGCAGGGGGTGTCGGGGAGCCCCGAGACGCTGCTTTGGGGGGCCGTGGCCACGATCCCCATCCCACCCAGGGCCACGCTGACCCCTCTGGCCACTGACCACCCCGGGGCCGAGCTGCAGGGATGCATGCGGAGCTGCTCCTCGGGGTCTGGGAGCTGTGGGGCGGCCCCCATCCCTGGCCATGCCGTGGCGCGGGGGTTTCTGCTGGCGGGAGGGCTGCGCCGCAGGAGCCTCAAATTAATTAGCAAAGAAAACGTGCTCAACATGCAAGGGGAAAAAAGCCAAGCTGCCAGGATGGCTCCTGGGGGAGCCGGTGAGTTTGGCCAGTGAGCTTCATCGGTCGCGGTGCCGGTAGTGCCGGGGGTCTGCAACATCCCCCCATGGGATGCAGTTTGGGGATGGGAGGTCACAGGGGTCGCCCCAAGGAGCCGGGGGGGGGCGGCTGCCAGGCGGGAGCTGCCGGTGTGCACCGCGGCGTTCTCCAGCACCGCTAATCCCTTAATCTCTCAGATAATCAGTGCCAGAAACGCAAATTACGCTGGGATTGCAGCGCACAGCTGCAGCGATGCCAACGCTTCGACGGCATCGCCGTGAATAATGATTTTTTTGTGACTTACTGCCAAATGGTGCCGGTTTATCGGGCGTAAAACAAAGAGGGTCTGGGTTAATCTTGCAGGTTAATGGGGTTGTGGGGTGGGCAGGGGGCTGGGGTGCCTGGGAGGGGGCGATGGGAGAGGAGAGCGGTGCGAGGCTGGGCTGGGCTGGATCAGGCCCTGGGTCACGGTCAAACCAGGGTTACGGCGTGCCCAGGGTCTCTGGCATCCTCACAGCAGGATCCGGTGAAACACGGTTCCCGGTGACACCGGCTTCTCCCGCAGGTTTCACCGCGGGGACTACACGGTGGAGGTGAGCATCAATGACTACCTGGACATCTACTGCCCGCACTACGAGGAGCCGCTGCCCGAGCGGATGGAGCACTACATCCTCTACATGGTCAACTACGAGGGGCACGCGTCCTGCGACCACCGGCAGAGGGGCTTCAAGCGCTGGGAGTGCAACCGGCCCGACTCCCCCAACGGGCCCCTCAAGTTCTCGGAGAAGTTCCAGCTCTTCACCCCCTTCTCGCTGGGCTTCGAGTTCAGACCCGGCCACGAGTACTACTACATCTGTGAGTAGGGGCCGCCGCGGGGACGGAGGGGAGGGGGTCTGGGGGGACCGGTGAGCGCAGCCCAGGGACGTCCCCCGCATCGCCCGGACCGGACCCGGACACTGAGCCATGGCTCCGTTTGCATTGGTGACCCAAAACGCCTCAAAGCCCCCAAACCCAGCCATGTCCTTGTGCCGGCAGCGCCGGCATGCCCGGCTCAAGGCAGAGATCCTGGCCAGCACACGCTTGGTGCTGAAAGCCCTCGCCGGGGCTCAGTCACAGCCGTGGGCATGGGGTGGCCACAAGAGCGACTGGGACTTTCCAGGGACGGCGGGATGATGGGGACACTGGTCTCAACCCCACGGGACCACCACCGGGCACCGGTAAAGGTGCTGCATGGAGCAGTGGCACAGCCCTGCCGGCCCCAGGCAGCGGCCCCGGGTGCTCCCACGCTCTCCCACGTATTCCCGCAGGCTGCCATGTGTTCCTGCGCTCTCCCGCACTCTCCCCTGTACTCCCCGGCTTTCCCAGGCCACGCTCCCCTTTCTCGCCCTAGGGATGAAGCCCACGCTGCCCGACCCGCGTCGGGGGAAACTTCTGCGGGCGCCTGGGTGCGGGTGGCAGGATCAGGGCCCCGGGACGGTGCGGATCGGGCCCCTCGTTGAATTTCTGCCTCCGGAGCGACCTGGCGCGGGGGCCAGGGCAGAGGAGGGGGAGAGGAGCCGGACCGGCTTCCTTGGGAGCCCACTGGAGCCATGGGAAAATAAGCTAATGGGGCTCGGATCAGGCGCTGGGAGTCTGGCAATCAAGAAAGAGTAAAAAAAAAGAAAAAAAAAAGAAACCGTGACCCCCAAGCACTCGACGGTGTCACAGGGAGACAGGGACGCCTCTCTTCTCGCGCAGGAGCCAGCCGGCATGCTTATCTTCCTTATTATTTCTCCCCCTTTTTCCTAAAGCATCTGTTTTCAGCCCACTTAATTTGTTCCTTTTATCTATATTAAATTACAGTTTTTTCCCCCCTCTCCCTCTCCCCTGTAAAATGTCACTCGTGAAATAACTGCATCTACAACTCTCTCTTCCCCCCCTCCCCGTTTTATTTTATTTTTTTTATTTTTAATGTCGTTAGGGAGAGATTACACAGAAGTAAATGGTGAAGCTGATCATTGCTAAACCGGTTAGAATTCATGTCATGCGGAACATTAGAAATTATGCCTCTTTGAGGAACCGTATTTAGCAGACATGAAAGAAAAGAAATTGCCTCCTCCTCGAGCTCGCAAATTGGAATGCCATTAACCTCGCAGGCACGGGGACGCGCTCGTGCTCCCCGCGCCGGGCCAAGGGCACCGGCTGGCCCTGGGGACGGAGCCGGCCGACGGAGCTGCTGCGGGATGCCCGCGCTGCGGCTCAGCTCGGCACGGCTCGGCACGGCTCCGCGCCGGCAGGGAGGGGGGGGGGG